TTTGTGATATTGTTGCCTAATGTATGTTATTCGTATACAATTGTTGTCATTATCACCTCGTCATTTTCATCTGTTCATTATTAATGATGTCATTGTTGTTGCTGTTGTTATTTTCATTATTAATATGATTGTAATTATTGTCGATATCATTCCCACGATTTTATCATTGTCATTATCATTTTATTATCTTTGTTATCATTAACATTACTATTATTACTATCACCATCACTATCACTATCATTAATATTATCATAATCACTATTATTGATATTATTATCATCATTATTATTTTCACTACAACTGTTATCAGTCACTATTATCATCATCATTACTACTACTCTTTTTATAATTATTATCATAGTTTTTATCATTGGTATTGGTAGTAGCAGTAGTGGTAGTAGTAGTAGTAATAGTAGTAGTAGTACCATTATTAGCAGTATCATTATTATTAGTACTACCATTACAGGATTCATTATCATTATCATTAATACTAGTCGTGTTATAAGTATTTGTATTTTAATTACCGTTAGAATTATCATCATCACTGTTATTATCATTATCATTATCATTATTATTACTATTACTATTATTATTATCATTATTATATTATTGTCCTTATTATTATTGTTGTTATCATTATCATTATCATTATCATTATCATTATCATTATTATTATGTTTATTATGTATATTATTATTATTATTATTATTATTATTACCATTATTAATGTTGTTATTATCATTATCACTGTCATTATAATCATCATCATTATCATGATCGTTTTTATTATCATTGACATTATTATCATCGTTATTATCATTATTGTCATTATTGTCATTAGCATTACCTTTACCATCATTCGTCTTACCATTAAAAATACTACCATTTTCATTGTTGTTATCATTATTTTTAACATCATGATTAGTATCATAATCCTTGTTTTATCGTTATGGTTATCACTATAAGTTGTGATAATAATTACCACCATGTCATGATTACCATCATTACCTTCATAATTCATCGGCAATATTTTCGTCATATTGATCATAGATTTCTCAGTAATGATATACTTTTTTACTGATTGAAGTTCAAGTGTTCACTATCGTTGCTTTTTAACTGTTAAAGATGGCAGTTGCTTTATATGTATAATGATATCATCATGATCATCATTGTTAAAAAAAGAAAGAGATATATAAAGCAAAGATAAAGAGTGCACGCCATAGTAGTCAATTCACAAACTCGACTTTCGTAAGTCCACTCACACAAAGCTTTAGTCGCCAATGATAAATGCGATGACTAACAGAAACTGCTTCCTTTATTCTTTATACCTTCTAGTTTTTTTTCGGAAACCTTTTGATCTCTTTCTTTACATCTAAGTAGAAATATAATGAAAGGAAGCCAGCAAAATGGTCTTTGAATGCTAAGCACTGATCTGACTGGTTGAGAATATGACCAGGGAAGCGCTCTGATTGGTGCATCGTTGCCATCGATTCCCAGCTGAGTAATTTGACTATATATAACAACATTACTAGACTTCTGGGCCCTGACTGTGGTATATAAAACGCTTTGCTATTTGATTATTATACCTAGGATGCTGTGGTTTGTACCTATCGGGAAGTAGGTATAATTAGTACACCAGGTTTATTTTCTTCTTTTTACATATATATTTTTTGGTAATTATTTTTCGATGAATGTCACTAACCAATTGTTTGTTTTGTTTCTTTCCCCCTTACCCCCCCTCATGAATTATTAGAAAAATTTCACATTCTTAGCGGTGGTAAGTTGCAGATCAAGTAAGATGTTTGTCATATATATATATACATAGCTCTTCTTAAGCTGACTGCAAAATTCTCTCTCTGTCAGATCTCTCCATAGCCGACACTCAAGTTCCTTTTTTTCACGTCCACTTAATGCAGGGCGTTTTCTCTTTTTTAATAGCCATTTTTAAAAAAAGAAAACGATCTAAAAATTGACTTCTGACTTGCTTCGTAGTCAAGTCAAGAAATCCCCCCCCTCCCCCCGAAGATCCCCTCAATCCTCTAATTCTAATCATCATAAATAATCTCTTAGTCGTAAGAACACACACCAAAAAAAAAGAAGAAAAAAAACAGTCATCGCCCTGCATTAAATAAACCAAAGATCTTTTAGATAAGATATCACTTGAAGTGACGTTTCCAATGTTTACCTATCGAGAGACTGAATAAGTTCTTCGTACACTCAGATCTTACACTAATTGTTTCCATTCAAACCCTCACTGGCTCTGTCGTAGTTCCATGTGAAATTTCTCTATGATGGCAATTGGCACAGTCTCCCTTCACCCGCTCAAATGTTTTTTCCGTGTCCATAGATCTCCTGTTTTATATTTATCGTTTTTTTTCTTTTGTGCAAAGGTGTTTTTTTCTTTTTTTTATTTGGGTTTCTTATTTCTTTGTTTTGTTTTTTTCTTTCCTTCCTTCTCTAGCTTTTTCTATTTCATTCTTACTTTGCATCAATTGCACTGCGTAGTTTTGGAATCTATTTTGTGTCACACTTGTTTTCTGTGACGTATTCAAGCGAATATAACATTATTTTAGATACATTTTTTTTTTTAATCCTACGAATAATTTCACTTTGTTTCGTGTTTGTAAATTGATCTTGGTACATCCCTGCGAAAAGTACTAACCATTTGTAACTCTTCAAACACCAAGTTATATTAAAACAGTAAGAGTTTCATTTCAAACCCTTTTATATCATGCAATAACCATGTTTACGTTTTCGTTGTAGCAGAATCACATTTTCGACATTTAAAACCGATTTAGAATTATTACTTGCTATACGTCGGGACTTTGTCACAGTAATCAGACTTTCACAATGATAAACTTTCTTATTCAAAAGATTAAAGTACAGTCGTTTAGTTCTACATAGATGCGCTGAAGTAAATAACAATAATAATATTGATAATCATTTCCTACAAATTGACAATTAGATTAACTGACTTAATGCTACGAAAAGCAGCATAGAATTAGAATAATGTGATGTTGTCTGAACGCTTTATAATGTTATCAAAAGATAAGGATAAACCGTCTCGTCTCGACACACTGTCACCATTGTTGTTATCTGTGTGCGTGTCATCTCTACTTCTCTCTGTCGCCTGTAACAACTGTAACAACCTGTAACTACTGCTGTGTGGGCTTGATTGCTCGTTAGTTCCCTTTTCATCACAAATGTTGCTAATCTATCTCTCTCTGCTGATCCGTGTGTAAAAATGTTGTGGCAAGAATTCGTGTTTCGCGCAGTATCTCATTTCTTTCGCTTTGGGTGTTACATCTTTTTCATTAATTTTATTCGATTTCTAAAGAATAATAAAGATATATATATATCTAATAACTGTATGACTGTTTGGTTCGTTTTCAGTGTCTGTGCGAGAGTTTCCGGCTGTGTGTGTGCGTCTGTGTGTGCATGCGTGTCTGTGTGTGTATGTACGTTTGTGTTTTGGTTTTGATGTATCCAGCAGTGGACATTAGTGTGTGTATCTATAACAATTAGAAACCTTTATTTGATGCTTCTTTTTTTAATATAAACCCAATGTATGTTTTTAAGTTTTATTTATTTCCCTCATTGTTTAACTTCAGATTGATAATGAACGTTACATTGTCACATATAACGGAAAATTAAATGTGTTAGATCTAATGATATGATCGTTAAAGAGAAGCCACGTGTTGGTTCAAAAACGTTGACTGTTCTGCTGTGTTGGTGTTTATTCCCTCTTCTGCATCACACTGTTTTCACCACATATGTGTTTTGTAGAAGTGTCCTAGGTGTCACTGCTGAAATGTTTGTGCTATAGAAATTTAAGTGTTTCAAGTTGATTAGGTCAAATGTCGCAGCAATGCGAGTAAAATATTTTAAATGTATTTTTACACATAAATATATGTACTGTACATGTTACATTATGTTTTTTTAATCAGAGATAGCTTACAATTTAGAAATACTGAAGAACAATGCAAATGCAATTACTGTTTCTGATACATTTTGATTACAAATGACCAAGCAGAAACACCTTTAAATTTAATTAAGCCCAAAGCTTTTATTTATACATGCAGACTATGCCATATTACATAAATGGTATGTATCAACAACGTATACATACATTACACTGAAAGTTAATCGGGAACACTGTTGTTATTTAATGCACCACGATGATGAAGTCTAAAATGGGTATAGATGTGAAAAAAAGAGAGAGTGATAGAGCGAGGGGGGGGAAAGGAGTGTGTGTGTGTGTGTGTATGTGTGCGTGCGTGCATCTGTGTGTGTGTGTGTGTGTGTGTGTGTGTGTGTGTTTCTTTGAAAGCCATTGAACAGCATGAATATTGTGCACATTACACGTTTCTCTTATCTCTCCAAGATACATTCTAAACCTTTTAAATCCCACCCATCCATTCGCAAACAATGAAAACAATATAATACTAAATAATAGCATATCAGATGACAATTACAGTCAGTTACAATGATCAGCCAAGAAAAATCAAATTGACTAGGATGGAAAGCTAACGTCATTTACAACCCACATTCATTTACAGTCAATAACTATTAATTAACTCCATTTTGTCTCCTTTCTCGCCAAATACCAGTCTAATCTCTCCCCGTTTTTTCAGGCAAGTGTATCCTACAGTAAGCCTGTGGAGGTGACCCTGTGGGTGCTCCCGCCGCTATGCAAAATGATAGGCCTACAAGTGTCTCCGCTCTAGGGCGACCAACCACCACTCCTCCCCCACACCTCTGGCCACGGTACCCCCGTCTATCCCTCTGGGTTTATGGCTCGCCGTGTGGAACCATCTGCAGCAGACACCAAGGGAACCGTTTTCGTCTTTTATTTTCATTGTTATTTTTTTTTTCCAACTGATATCTAAAAATTGAAGGAATTCGTGCGAGTGTGTGTATGTGTTCGTGTGCGTGCCTCGATATGGGTCACAAAATAAAATATGGTCCTGTAGGGAAGTATGAGAAAGGTTTTCGAAATGAAGAAAGACCCCCCCCAAAAAAAATCAGTGATCATAAGGAGGTAATCATTCCATCAATAGAGTCGAGAATCCCCTCTGGTCCTTCTCGATTTACATCTTCGCCGGGATGGACGCGGGTTATAATACTCTCCTCTCTACAGTTGACTAAAAAAAAAATTAGATAGCGATTGGTACCTGCACCAGCACATACGACGCCGGCGAATTAATGATAGGAGCAAAGCAGTATCCCAGACGGTTTAACATTTCCACTAAATTTGCTATGCTAATCAGTATCTAGAATGCACAAAAAAAAGGAAAAGAATTTTTTACTATGATATGTTACAGCAAATGTTGAAAATTTATGAATGGCATTAAAACTAGGATTACTGATTCGCGAAAATTTTTGGATTTATTTTTATTTTTTTCGCGCGTCTCGACTGCCTTCAGAATGGAAATTATGTTTATACAGTGTGATCCTTCACTAGCTAGGAGGTGATTTTGTATATAGAATCCCCTTTCTTATAAGTGCTACCAGCTGTTCCCACGAGACCGTTAAGACTATGTACCCTTTTGCATATAGTGAATTTTGCAGCTCACTCAGTGGGTCGCGAAATGGTGAAAGATGTCAACTTTGTAAGCTGATCTGTTTCCCTCCTGATTGATTTGCTTTTTAGGCCTTTTTCACGTCAGTATCTGCTATTAACTGAACGATTTTTATGCAAAAGAAAAAATTACAAAACCAAATCGTCCAGCTTAATACTTTCAGAAGAAAAAAAAATACTAAAAATTCCCAAAGAAGAAACATAAATGAAAAAAAAAGATAAAAATTTAAATCAACTTTCAAAAGATTATTTTAAAAATATGAAAAATAAACAGACAGCACACTTACCCAGAAAAAAAACAAAGTCTACATCTTTTATCAACATATATTTGTCATTGTTTATTTGGTAATGGAAATATAAAATAATAATCTATATAAAGCGTAAAGATGCGTGGATTGTTAGATAACGTGTCCCTCTTGGCCCCAGAGGGCGGGACAGACGCAACCGGGCCAGTTTCTCAGTTCCAAGTTGTTACCAAGGTGTAACCCAACGTAATCGTCGATCATCGAAAGCTCTTGTTTGTCTAGCTTATTTATTACAGTGTGTTTATCGAAGTTGAGGTTACGTTGTATTTATGAAATTATAAGGATACGTCTAAGGTCAGGTCATTTTGACTTCATGTAGAAGCATCTCTCTCTCTCTCTAGCTTTTGCCTAGATTTTTTTGTCTCTGTCATCGCTGGATTTTGGTCGGATTTTTCTCATGATTGGTCAAAATAGGTCTGTTTTATTTATTTTTTTTTTCGTTTTTCGTTATCGGTATTTGTTGATCACTTTCCTTCCAGGACGTTCCGAGGGTATGATACCTTTGTTCCGTGTTTGCAATGCACTTTACTGATGATGATTATGGCTGTATTAATAAAGATTTGTGGAAAATGTGGTGCGTAATTTGAAAAAAAAAATAATATATCAATTTTATTATTATTATTAGTGAATACTATTATCATATTCTCAAGGTAAGCATCACTTTCATAATTAGCATTGTGATTACTGTTGTTATCATCGTTAAAACTGTTTAGTTTCATTTTCATTCAATGTTAACTGTTTGTGAATCATTAAAATTCTTGTTGTACTCATTGAAAATTATTGGAAATATGCAATGTTATCGTATTGGTTTGACGTAAAACAAACATTTAAGTCATGTTAATTAAAGCTTTAAAGTATATTCAAATTGTTACTGAACTTCAAAAGGAAAAAAAATATATATATATGTAATTTTAATCGGCCATTCTGGTAATCAGTCCTCTGTTGTTGTCAGGTGTATTGCAATCCATTTGTGTCTGTGAGAAAATACAAAAAATCTTTCCTTTGTCTTTCTTTTGTATAATGTTCAAAGACGATTATTGTGCATTTTCTTGTTTGAATCATGTATATGTTGTGTAAATAAAAAGTGTAACCTACGATAACCGGCAACCCGAGTCTCGCTTGGCAGAACAGGTGCCAACACAGGTTTTTAAGTCGTATTTTAAGGATCGAGTGAACTGTCATTAACGAGAAGCGATTTATGGTGATTTTCTAAAGGAAGAATATTTAAAGAGAATTCAACATTATAGATTTAAACCATACTGACTATATCTACGTCTTTTCTAGTATTTCTCTGAGACTTTCCAAAAAATACTCTTTCTACATATGTATGTCTATATGCGTGTGTATATATATGTGTATATATAATAATCAGCAACCTGAATACCAAAATATATATATATGACGTAATACCCGAGGCTATATCGCGATAAAAAAGGCCCATACAAGTTCATCTTAAAACTAATAACTGTGATGGTTAAACGAGATGCAAAAGCAACAAAAAAATAAAATAAATAGCCATTATGATATAGGAAAATCTGTCTTTGTATAGAGTTATTAAGCAGATTCTTTCGGTTTATGTAAATGTTGATAACACGGCACTGCAAGTTGCCCGACTCCGTACTTCAGGAGTTCCAGTGTTTTGTGTATCCTTCCCTTTAGCTTCGTCGGACTTGGACACCGTGTAGTGTGACAAGGACAAAAAAAAGCAATGCATGTATATGTACATAATATAGTTAAACAAAAGAAATGACCTTTAGACTAATTTTTGTTCATACGAACTCGTTCATGAGGTTATGTAAGCCCGTTGTGGCTATAGATGTATTTTGAATGGATTAGAAGCCACGTGAACAAATAAAAAAGCAGCCTTATATATGTATATATATATATAATCATATAATCAAATTTTCGTGGCTTTGATATCCAAGCTAATCAGCAACCTGAATACCAAAATATATATATATGACGTAATACCCGAGGCTATATCGCGATAAAAAAGGCCCATACAAGTTCATCTTAAAACTAATAACTGTGATGGTTAAACGAGATGCAAAAGCAACAAAAAAATAAAATAAATAGCCATTATGATATAGGAAAATCTGTCTTTGTATAGAGTTATTAAGCAGATTCTTTCGGTTTATGTAAATGTTGATAACACGGCACTGCAAGTTGCCCGACTCCGTACTTCAGGAGTTCCAGTGTTTTGTGTATCCTTCCCTTTAGCTTCGTCGGACTTGGACACCGTGTAGTGTGACAAGGACAAAAAAAAAGCAATGCATGTATATGTACATAATATAGTTAAACAAAAGAAATGACCTTTAGACTAATTTTTGTTCATACGAACTCGTTCATGAGGTTATGTAAGCCCGTTGTGGCTATAGATGTATTTTGAATGGATTAGAAGCCACGTGAACAAATAAAAAAGCAGCCCTCACATTTTTTAAATATTCTGTAAGTCAAGTTTTCCCTAAACAAATATATATATTCAACCAGGGGAAGATGTGATTTACGGGAGACTTTCAAGTAGTGTTTGATATAGTGCACACAAGCCGTGCTGTTGTAGTGTATGATACTCATGTTTACAGGCCCAAGGCGCGCACCCATGGGCCGGCGTTCCCTCGCTGTGCGCTGACTGGACCTGCGCAGCGAGGCATGAACGCATGCGCTCTGGGTCACAGAGCCTGGTGGCCGCAGTCTGTACCCGAATCCCGAATCGAGACTAAGCGTAGGAGAGTCAAAGGTAGCAAGACTGGCTGTCCTCGAGCCAAGGTTCCTCTCACTCGCACTGCACTGTCAGTTAGAGATTTCACGTTCTGTCGAGACAGTTCGACCGTCACTTAAAAAAAAGATGCTTTGTAAAATAACGACGATACTTCAACTGGGCCTTTTTTTATTTACGATATGCCTTGTCTTACCTGGTTAATCGAGTCAACGCTGGGAAACTTTTTTCTCCCGCTTTTAGTGTATTTCGAACAAGTATTATGCATGTTTAACAAAATTAGAAGTAATGGTTAAATGGGGCTCTGAGAAAAAAAATCTATTCTTCCTCATTAAATAATACTATACATTTTCTCCATCAGTAGAGGTTCAAATTTATAGCAAAACGCTGTCCTGTGTATATCAATCCTGCTCGCGTCCCTCCGACTGAGCATTCGCTATTCATTTTTCATCGTAAACTTTCTAGTCAAAAACCATGAGTCAGAAACAGAAGCAGACTCATAAAACCTGTGGAAATCCTGTCCTGTGTAAGAGAGAGTATAAATTTGTAGACTTTTTGCTTACTGACGCCAGAATCATACCCGTTTCCTTTAATCTAGACAAGTTGTTCTGAACCTTGTTGTTAACTACCGTTGTTGTTGATTTGATAGGCTACTCGTCAGTTATGATTGTTAGTCACTATAATCCGGTAGGAACTTCACGACGCTCTCTGTATCTCTTCAGCAGGCTCTGGCAAGGGGACCTGAATGGCGGCTGCGACCTCCTTACAAAAAAATAATAAAACAAATCTTTGTTAATTATGCAAAATGTTTTTAAAAAACGTCAAGAATATGTCAATAACTGTTAAAAGATCAGTGATTTCGATGTAAGTTTATAAATTCTTTTAGGTCTCTAAATGTCTCGTGGAGAATCAAGTGATGAGGACTATTTTGTTAACGTAACCCGTCCCCTCTTCTGGAGCCTGCTGTACTATTCCCTTGGTCCTTGGCAAGCCAATCAGAAGGCTCGTGGAACTGAGTTGAGGAAAATCGCTTTTCTGATTGGCTGTTAATGTCACTTGAGTATAAGAACGGTGTGTCCAGGGCGAATGTTCTTACCTGATTTATAAATATGTATGTACATGTTTTGTGGACTGTATTGTCTTAGGATCGAAACAATGATATTATTGATGATCAGTTGATGATAAGCTTGATGATAACGAACCTTAGCTGTAAACATGGCGCTAACTTTGTGACGGGGATCACCTTTTTCGGAACTCAATCGGGAGCCTCACACGAGTAAACTTGCCACCACAACGTAAATACGAGTTTTTTGATGTGGAAGTCACGTTTCCTCCTGAAGTTGGTGGTATAGCAGTCATAATTCCAAGCGGTGGGCATGAGCGCCGCGTAACATAATGCTAGGTGCCTGTTAACTGGACGTGGCTGGACCGGAATCCCGTACAAGATGACATAACGAGACGATTGATTTTTTTGTGTGTGAGTTAAAAGAACTTCGACTTCTCTACACCTTATCAGCGAGGAGGTTTTTCCCCCCCATGATCGACCCCGAACCGAACCAGCCTTGATCGAAAGAAATGTTCTTGCGGATTCTTCCTCGCTATGAGAAGGTCACGTGAATCAGTTCTTGTACCCATATCGTCTCGTTTGTTTTTCTGAGGTTACCGCCCACCTCGCCAGACTTTTGAACGGAGCCCCAATAGGAAAATAAACATCAGATGAATAACCACGACGCCGACTTAAATGTTCATTCTTAGCCAGCACTAGTCTTTCACTGCTAACACAGTCTCATATCACAAGATCGAAGTGTTGAGGTTCGTCTAGAACTGCAGGAGTGAATTTTATTTATTCAGAATAATAATAATAAAACAATAAATCATTATTTGCAAACTAGCTGGAATGGGCAAAATTTTCACCTCTTACCTTTGTTTCCATCACGAGCATTGGTTTCTCGCATCTGAACTACAAACTTTGACTCAAACCTGAACATCACTTCTCGTATCTCATTCATTTCTATATATGAACTGTAAAACGACCGTAGATTTTTTTTCCGGAAAATTTGCCCAGGAGAGTAGTGTGAACTAGCCGACTATGCACCGCTATTTCTCGATATCCGCATAGGTTCATATTCTCCTTTTAGAAAGATCTTGTATCTATTATTATCCTGTCAGTGTTGTACGTGTGTATCGTGAACATGAAGTACATAGGCCTCCGTCTTCGTCCGGTAACGTGACGTCACCGCTGCAGCATTCTGATGTCATGGACTTTGTGACGTCTCGTGTGACGTCACCATTTGACACTACAATGCCATATCACTTTTGGATGTTTTCTTTCATGTTGCTCTTGCACTTTTCCCTCCGCGCCTCTTGCGTGTGGCGTCAACTCGCTCCAGCGATGTGGACACGGTGCTGTAGGGAGACCTGGGCCAAAATTATATACTGAAGCGTTATCAATAAATCCGTATATAAGATTAGGAAGTTCATAGAGAATGTGAATGGGGAAGCCCGTTGGAATGAGTTATTAGTTAGTTTATACAAACCAAACCCCCGAAAAAAAAGTTTAAAAGAAGCCTTGTTGTCTCTTTATCTTTTAATTTCTTTTCTTTCCTTACTTTTGTGTCTCCATTTTTAGTTATGTTTTAGAACGTACATGCAGTATCTCTCTTAGGGAATTTTCACCAAGCTTTCCCCTTTCACTCCCTTACTCTCGAGTTTACCAATGCTAAACATTAGTTAATAGGTATTACTAGTATCAAAGTGTGATCTGTGGGTTTATAGCATCGTGGTATGTCAATTAGGCAGTTTTCTTTCCCTTGTCCTTACAAAAGAAGAAGAAAGCTAAATGCAATGACAGAGTAACCGAATAAAATAAAAAGAGAAAATGGAAAAAATCAAAGAGCAACTCTCGTGTTTCTTTTTCATTCGATCGGTGGACATTTTCCTTTCTTTTCTTTTTTTTCTTTTATTTTCGTGAACAGAATCGTGTTATTATTCATTTTGTATGTTTTTTCCTGGTTATCAAAAGATCCTCTTCGTCACAAACGCGTCGGTGGTCATGATTTGTAAGGGTGATTGTAATGGATAACAAAATTACCCTTCGTTTTGATGAGATGACTGTGCAGTGTTCCCTTCCCTCGAACACTGTTAACGTTTTTTATGTAGGATCCCTTGTCTCGCCTCATAGAAAAGTTGTAGGCCAACAACTCACAATATGTTCCGTAGTGTCGTTAATACATGTTGATTTTTTATAGTAAATATGCGGTTTCGCAAACTGATCAGAGTGACTTTTAAACTTTTTAGATATATCATAACAGAAGTGTTTGTAGTGGTAACAAGAGATGTAAATCATAAGTATGTCCATAGAATTGTCTAAGTATACCCTACAAAATATCCAAAGCAAGCCACCTTCGCCCATTTTCTGTAACAATTTTCACACACGAGGAAATAAAATAAAATAAAAATACAAGAACATAATATTATAGGCATGAGTTTTTATCATTGTTATGGGTAGAGGAGAGTATTCTTTAGGTAGCTTTACCGATGTTAAAAATACCTGTGATGTGGAAAGTTACTTGGTAATTAAACCTTGTTTATTTTAAGCCCGCTGAGACGGAGCAAACCCTGCCACTCCCTTTACAGTCACACTATTGTAATAAATAAGATACAGAAGTATGAGGTGTTTTTGTGTCCTTGTCTTTAGCCTTAAGAATTGTTTAAGAAAAGTGATGATACTTATCACTGTTTGTTTGCTTTTCTATCTTTTACACACACACACACACACACACACACACACACACACACACACATATATATATATATATATATATATATATATATATATATATATATATATATATGAATATATATGAATATATATATATATGAATATATATATATATATATATATATATATATATATATATATATATATATATATATGTATATATATATGTATATATATATATATATATATATATATATATATATATATATAATATGTATGTATTCATATATGTATATATATATATATATATATATATATATATATATATATATATATATATATATATATATATATATATATATATATATATATATATATATATATATATATATATATATATATATATATATATATATATATATATGTATATATATGTGAATATATATATATATATATATATATATATATATATATATATGAATATATATATACACACACACACACACACGTGTGTGTGCGTGTGTGTGTATGCATGCATTCTGTATGTGTGTATGTATATACATAAATACATATATCCCTCTTATTACCTCAAGAAAAATTACCACTATATATCTCTTAAATATTTTCTACAAAAGTCAATATTGCGCACAACAGTGATTATTGATAAGAAAAAAAACTATTCAAACGTTATTGGCAGAAAAACAACGTTTGTTTACGAAAAATGTTATGAAAGAAATCATAATAATAGATAGACTTAATACATAGTAAAATATGAATAGATAAACCATATGAAAACACAAAAAAGAAATCACCAAATCATTATATCTTAATTACACTCAATTAGGAGCCGTTGATAAAAAAAAAATGTGACAATGTATATATATTCATCTATCTACCTAGCTTTCTATCTATCTCTATATATATGTGTGTGTGTGTGTGTATGTATATTTACACACGTACAAGTATAGATACATACACACACACACACACACACACATATATATATACATATGTATATGCACATATATGTAATACTAACAGTGCACTGTTAGTATTTAAGGTCTTTATGGGTATTCACGCTAAATCCTAAAAAGTACTCTGGCACTGAAAGATCACGTGGTAATGAAAATATAGGCAATGGCAAATAAATCTACGGGAACCCATCGCCACACTTGACAGCATATCACGTTTTAATAGCGTATGATTTAATTGTTTCATCTATAAAGTTGACTATGATGATTATGAAAAAATTAATAATAATGAGTGAAAACTGGGCAAAATAGATTTTTTTTTTAAATCATACAATTTGCGTAGAAGTTGATATAGGAAATGTTTAAAAAACAGAATTGATGGCTATTGAGCATCCAGTACACAGGAACCAAATATCAGAATTCAATTGAGCGTTATCAATGAATTGCAAAGTGGATAAAGTACGGAACAGGAATAATCATATATCTACTGATAATAGATATCGGATAAGAGAGTCAATAAGAAAAGCGAATGAATGCAGAAATCAAAGAACAGAATCAATTTTCAAAGAAATAGATCAGTGCTCTTGATAAACGGAACGAATAGAAATAATCTGATAACTGATCATGAAAGAAAATCGAATAACAAAATTATTTGGAAAATAGTAATAAACCAGCGCTCCTGACAAACACAAAGCGACCCGAATAAATCCTGGACAACCGATATTTTTGCGAAGCCGAAGCCGTGGTCAGTTCGGTGCTTTCTCATTGGAACAGACGGAAAATTGAAAGGTTCTGAAATGTTAGGGTTCTTATAGATTCTTTTCCCTTTCTTTAACTCTGTTCTATTTTATTTTGTTTATTTTTCTTTTATTGTTTCATTACTATTCATTTTGTTTTATTTCATATTTATTCTGTTTAAGTTCATTTAAATTTATAATTTTATGTTTTTCCTTTTTTAAATTTTTATTCCATTTCGTTTTCGTTTCATTCCTCTATTTCACTTTACTTTATATCCTTTTATATCATTTTATTTTGCGTTATATGAATTCAAAAAATCCAGTCATGTAATAACAATTTATTGAACAAAATCAGTCTGAGTTTCGTTGATCGCCACGGAGGTAGATGTACAGCCCAGCCTCCACGCCCACAGCCACGCCCACAGCGCCCATGGGATAGAGAGACGGGCGAGCAGAATGCACAAGAGCCGCCCGCCCCTCGCCCCCCTCACACACCGCCCTCCCGAAGGTTTGGGGCGATGCGGTCATACGTAAGGGCACTCGAAGGCGTGGCTTCTGGGTCAGGAGACAAGGCCTTTCCCTTATAGGCCAAGTTTACAGGTCCCTTTTAAGCATTAAGGAGGGCGTTGATGTCCGCCTTCAGGTCCTCCGGGTCGACGACGGACGGGTGGTACCTGTAGACGGGTTTTCCTTCCCTGTTGATGAGGAATTTTTCGAAGTTCCAGTGAAGATCTCCGACGCGAAGAGGCTCGTAGTACAGACCCGAAGAGAAGTCCGTGTCTGTGTATTCACAGCCGCTCTATCAAAGGGTGAGAGGAAACGGTTAAAAGCACGTCATAAAATCAACATTCATATAATTTTAAAAATAATTCACAAATTTACTTTCGGGTAACGGATACTTCAACTCAAGATAGGTCTCTAATGCAAAGTATTGCACACAAGCTTAGCCCAATATACCACAATGTACCGTCCCTGTAAAGTTCCTCAATTTAACTCAGCTTCAGTGCCCCTCAAATTTAACCCAGTATATACCATGCCTAATGTAATACAAGCTTATTTATTGTATTTACACATAGATGGCTCTACAAGTGCTTAGTCATAAAGGAGTCAGTTATTAGTCCTACCTATCTCATCTGTTTACCCTCTTCCTAGTCTTTTGGAAACGGTCTTTAGCATTATTTCATCGTCTTAAATGTAATCGAGATTTAATAACAATTTAATAATTATAACAACAATAACAATAATAACAGTATTGATATCAACTGTCTTAAAAAAGAAAAACACATTCTCCCGCCAATTCAAGCAATGGGGAAATCAGGATCGGTCACTAGGGCCTTCTGATGATAGCCTCCTTGCCGACTGAGCACATGTGGAGCCATCTATATGTAACGAAATTCATAAATCCGGGGCGGTTGGGTTGAATTTAGCTTAATTCAGCCTCACCTTCAAGAACGTGTAGATCGGGTCCTCGCTGTCCCCGTTGACCTGCGTCTTCTGGAAGATGGTCATCTGGGGCTCGAAGCCGCCACCCGGACGGACGTAACGGACGCCGTTTAGGAGCTCATCGGCAGTGGCTCCGGGCTCTTGCTGAAATGTGACGTCACAGTGGGATTAGGGGAGAACTTGGAAATAAAGGGTCGATTTTTTGGATATTCTATTTGTCTTTATAGTCTTAGCTTCGTGAGCACTCGTGAGGTATTAATTAGGCAGCCTCTAGATGCAAAAAAAGAAAAATCGTCAACTCATCCGATTCGCGAAGTTTCATTCAGTCTAAACAACCAGCACAATATTTACATTATATGTTTTGTATTTTTAAAACTGGTATATATCTCTGTTGTTTTATTATTGAAATCTACTGCCTTAAACGCCACTTTTTTCCCTCTAATTTTCTTGAGACTGAACAGAGAATAACTAAAAAAAAAAACACTCATACCTCCGAAACAACCTATCATTCCCCAAATCGCATTTAAAAAATGGAAAGAAAAGAAGGAAGGAGTAGACAAACAGAAAAAAGAGAGAATGAAGAAAGGTAGAACTCAATTTCAGAAATATATAAGTCTATGGTAACCTTCTGCATTTATCAAACCCATTTTCTATGAGAAAAGTATATCCCTGTGATCTGAATTATAGCGTTAGTATCGTAAAAAAAAAGAGAAAAAAAACTATGGACGGCTTACAACAGGACAGTTTATAATAATAATAATAATCATGAATAATAACAGTGATATTGATAAAACAGGGAATTAAAGATATCAAATAGTGATCCGGTAAAATACACCAACGCAAACATCCACAAGCAGAAATCTTAGCCACACTTTAGTTAATATTCCTATAATTTCGTTTATTGGCTGATAAGCATAACCAAGACATGTAAATCACTAATAGTATATAATCACTTGTTCGATTCCAGGAGCAGCATACCCCTAATTTTCCAACAGAAACCGTCAGTATTTATTTTCATATAAACTTAATGACACACCAAGAAAATAAACAAATAAACAACTGGTGCTCAAAGTGGAGGTAAAAGCAAGTAAAAAATATTTCATAAATCTCTAGAAAATTGATATAGAATTCTATTACTTTTACTCTTATTTGGTGCGGTAACTACACTCCCTTTCTCTAAAAGCAATTATTCGGTTAAATAATCATGCAACTTTTCATACTACATGCATTATGAAATATTTAATTAAACATGTTTTTTTTTTCTTCTTCTTCCTCTAAATACATGATTTTGAAACGAGGCAATATCGTAAAATAAAATAAAATAAATAAATATGTAAAGCGAAGTCATTATTGAAAACGGATTTCACTTGTTTTTTTCACCATCAATATGTTATTCGCAAAACCAGTATAACAGGAAGAATTTCATCACATCTTCAGTGGCCATGCTGAGCCAACTTTTACACAATGGTTATTTAAGTGCTTATCTACATATTCTTTGTTCAATTTCGTTAGTGCCATTTCGCAACTTCCTAACAATCTTTGCCATTGTGTACAATAATTTAAATTTCTACTTATTCCATTTTACGGTTAATACAAATTATCTTAAGTCCTGGAGGCCTATCATGAGAATTCGTGACAGCCGACGGCCCACATCGTAAAAATATAGAAAACAAAAAAAAAAAAAAAAAAAAAAAAAAAAAAAACGAAAATAAAGTTGCCATTATCTGTGTTGGATTTAGACCCATTCATGAGGTAATTGTCTAGAAATACACTTTTTATGCTATAAATATCCATACAGATTATCATCATCCCCTTCTCCAATTAAACAATTAGTATAGTCAATTATATTTTTCATTTCTTTATGTTCGGTGAAGTTTTAGCATCCAGCTTAAGATTCTGACTGACCGAGAAGACAATTATCCTTTGTTATCCACATCAGAGGAAATGCCTGACGAAATTACATCAAACGAGCAGCTATTCATTTGGTATTATCCCTATATATGCGTGTTCCTGTTCTTTTTTCCAT